ATAAATACAGCAACAATATGAGGCAATTAATTTTTGCGTAACTGATGTAGTTTGAAAAAAAAAAAAAACAGTGAACCATAGTTTATAAGAGAGCTTAGTTTATAAGCTAAAATCGTGTATGAAACCAGCTGTAAGATAAAGCATTTATTCATTTCACGATCTATTTAGGGTTGCAGTGACAAGTTTTTCAACTTATTTGATAAACAAGCCAACACAATCATAATCGTTTGCGTCTCAGTGGCAATTCTACAGGTAATCGTTCTTAAAAACTTGCTTTCCAGTAACTTTTTTAAAGCGTTTTTATATAAAGACAATGCCCGTTAAGTTGATCTTGAAGCGAAGAGAGATAATTGAGAGAGGAGCAGTGTCGGAGATGGACAGCATTAGCTAAGTAGGGTACAGTAAGCAAGAATCGGTCATAATGTTTAAGCTGAGGAAAGTATCTTAGAACGATATTGATTTGGAGAATTCTATTTTGAAGAAGAAAAATTAAAACTTTGTTGAGTGTTAAAATTTGCATAAAACGTTGGCTTCGGGACAGGTTAATGAAGAGGGAGGCGAGGCAAAAGAAGTGCAGCTGACTCACTTCTGAACAATTACTAAAGTTCATAAGTAGGCAGTTCATTTTTGTAATTATTTAATGTGATCTGCAAGTTACAACAATTGATCTCCGCTTTTTGGAATCTTCTTTTTTTTTTAGTTGCATCACTAATTATTGTAGTCGAATAAAAACGTTTGTAGCTTTCTTAAGTCTTCTGTCATTTTCAACAGTTGATAATAATTATAAAAACAAGGGCAAGAAATGCAAAACGGCGAACTTATTTGCAGCTCTTTGGTATGTTCTTCTCGATGATGTTATGCTGTATAAGTGGAACAGAGAATTCCAGTCGAAAAGATCGTTATTACTGAATAATGTCGATGTGGACAGAAAAGTTGATCGGTGGAAAGAAAAACAAAACAAAAAGAAGGGAAGAAGAAGCAAATAAAAAAAAAACAAAAACTTAAAAAAAAAAAAACAAGAAAATGAAAAAAATTTAGGACGCAAAATGACACGAAACAAAGAGATTGAAACATTGTTCTATAAAGATTAGTTGCAAACTAAAAAAATTCAGTTGAACTATATTTTTTCTAAATAAAAAACCCTGTTGTATATATCAAAAAAAAAAAAAAAAAAAAAAAAAAAAAAAAA